GCAACATGCCATGTCGCGCACCATGAGCAGTTTTTTTTTCAGACAGCATGTTTCTCGCTCTTTTGTACTGTTCTTTCCTCCCAGCGTTCCTATGAGCCATGTTATACGTTCGTCTTTCGCTTGGCAGAGCTGAGGGCAAAATTTGTAGTATCGCCCTTCTCTCTGCATCACCCCCGCCAGACGCTTCGGACCCAAACTGGCTCTGAACGAGAATCGCATCATCACTTCACACTTGCGTCGGACTCGCCCGTGCTGTGGAAAGTTTCTCCGAAGAATAGTCGGTGGCAACCATACTGCACGAGAAGAGGACTGTTATCGAGACGAGTAATCAGTGGCCACCAACTTCTCACTCTCGTCATCAGATGTTGCGAAAGAAGCAGCCATTGGCAGACAACTGCTGCGTGTCGAAGTCGTCGGGTGCACCTCGTCAAGAATGTCGAACTCGATTCGGGAGGCAGACGGTTCTTTGCCTGCGGACTGTGTCGCCAAATCCGTAGGCAATTGGATGCAACCCCCAAAGCTCTCACGAAAAGCGAGACTTCGTTTTGTGGGGAAAGTTGCAGTGGACTATTGGAACGGCGAACTGTCCGAAAAGCTCGTCGGGGCAAACTCTAGGTGTTGTAGCTGGAAATGCAAGTCGATGGCCTGTTCGGTTTCCATAGCCTGGTTCATGCGGCCGTCGCTGAGCCGTCCTTGGCGCCGTCATGTAACCGTCGGTGTAAGGGATGCGATTCCCGTCAGCGAAATCAATTGAACTCTCTAGTGCGAAGTGAAAGGGTCATTCGAATTCGTCTCCACACCCTGTAAAACAGCGGAGCCAACTTTAATCACAAATACTCAAGAATTAAGGGATGAGCCCACACAACCCCCCCCCCCCTCCCCTTCCTCCCCAGACCCCATCCACGGCGTAGCATAACATGTTATTCGTTAAAATATGACATTATACTGTGTTCTCTTTCTAACGAATTCATTTTTGGCTGCATTCTAAGCAACGTAGGCATGCCCATCCAAGGCTTAACCACATGCAGAATGTGTTGAGATCCGTACTTGTGATATCCCAAATGAGGAAGCGTGTTCAGACCCGTACATGTTAGGCACGCCGCCTGGGAACCTTGTGCGGAAGTGTACTGGGATCCTTACTTGTTGAACTTAAAAAACGTAGCACTGTTGGGAATCCTGTGCGGAAGTGTGCTGGGATCCGTACTTATTAAACTTCGTAAACGAATAACGATAGACACGCCCATCAGGGAACCTTGTGCGGAAGTGTGCTGGGATCCTTACTTGTTGAACTTCATGAATGTGTTGGGAATCCTATGCGGAAGTGTGCTGGGAGCCGTACTTGTTAAACTTCATAAACGAATAACAATAGGCACGCCCATCAGGGAACCTTGTGCGGAAGTGTGCTGGAATCCTTACTTGTTAAACTTCAAGTTCACAATTGTGATGAGCAAGGTATCATGATTGCATCCTCGTTGGATAATTATATTAGAAGACGTAGAGTAGCGGTAGGCACGCCCATCTGGGAACCCTATGCGATAGTGTGTCGGGATCCATACTTGTCAAACTTAAAGTTTGTAAATGTGATGAGCAAGGTGTCATAATTGAATCCTTGTTGGATAATACATTTGTTTCGGTTATGCGTAAGTTGTACATGCATGGCAATCATCTTGCCCGAGACGATTGTTTGGATGTTAATGAGATTCGAACTTCTTTAGAATACCTAGTGTCCGTAAAATACGCCCACCATCTCGCCGGATGTGCAGAAATGTTATGAGATCCATATTTGTTTACAATTGTGATGAGCAAGGTGCCATGATTGCATCCTTGTTCGACATATATGCTTTGAACAATGTGACATTGGCAACTTCAAGTAATGTAATAGTCACAGTGGCAGTCGAAGTACAAACAATTAATTTTGACATACAATTTCTTTTTTCTGGTCACGAACGCAAAGTTGTCGGTTACGTGCAATTCAGGCGGTCACAAGTATATGATTCTCTGTGCACACAAGAGACGTGATGTCAGTGGTCTTTGATTCTTTGCATAACGAACCTCACACTCACACACTTGCCGAGATTTGTCTTGCATCCACACTCCAATTCGTCACGTCGCACTACACACACCAATATCATTTCGAGGTGAATTATATGTACAACTTTGGATAACCTGGACACAATTTGAAACGAGGAATGCAATGCGATGAATTTAATGGCACGAGACACGAGCAGGACGTGACAGAGACTTCAAAGTCAACACGCGACGCCAGACTGACAGTGAGCATACCAAAGACAGCTTAAACTCGCAACAATAAAAGAAAGTAATGTCGTTGTGAAAGCGACAGTTAAAGTATGAAATATTCTGAAACGAAAGTTTGCAAATCAATCGAATCCATCCAACACAACGACATTCCAAGATACATGATGCCAATTGTCGTCTAATATGCGGAATATCTTTACAAGAGAACCTGAAAGGCGATCGATTGCCACATTGCAACAATATGGCAAACATCAACATAAACACCCCACAACTAACTCCATCCACTTGTCTTGGAACACCCTCTATAACAACATTTGTTGCTACCGACTTCCAACTCCTACACGACCGCGTATGTGATGTTTGACATTCCAAATACTGTACAATCAACTCAAAAACACTAAGGTAAAAACTAGAATCGGCTATAACGCGAGGAAAAGAATCGAAAATCTTAAGAAAATTATCTCTCAAGTTCACGGAAAGGAGGATCTAGTGATCATTATCTGTGTGTACTGGAACACAGATAATATCATATTCAAGCAGATCCACGTTTTTAGTCCATCTTTCCACCCCGCCGTGTCCTTGAAGTTGCAGTTTACTGAAGAAGAAAGAATTAAAGTTGAAGACTCGAAGGCCTGACGGGATGTCACGTATCCCATATGCGGTCGTCCCCAATAGCGCCATGTAAAAATTGACCACCTCATCATTCACCCTGCCGTTGGTAAGCGAGAGGATGAGAATATATTTTGCTGCAATTCACAACTAACCATCGCCGAGGGTTAAGAGAACAATGTTAGGTGGCACCAAGCTTCGTCTAATGTCGTCCAAAACCCGCAAGCTTCCAAGCGCAATCAGTGCAGTGAATCCTCCCCAGCCTGTTCCAGGTGCCGTAGCCCGCACTGCACAGGGGGGAGTGAGAAACGGAATTCTAAAGATCCTCCTTCATCGCACGATGAGTAGCTAAGTATTTCTCATACATGGCCTGACCCCTAATCAGAGATTGTGGATATGTCCCTTTCTCTGGAGGCAGAAGGGAAAGACACTCCTCAATGGCAATGTCATGCTCCTTCTTCCCGATTTCGACATCAACCCCTGATGCCTTTAACATGTCCTTGTGTTTTGTCGTCAACCCCGGGACTGTCTGCAATATGTGTTCCGGATATTTCGAGGGCCTCCGTGTTCGAGATGACCCTACCCCTGTACAACAGAAGAAAGACAAAACGGAAAATGAATAAACGTTTCCGAAGACAAACCCGACGAAAGGACAATTAAAGAACCACGAAATCTAAAAGACGCAGGACCTATGGAATTACAGATCCCCGTTTTGTCATGAGAGTGCGAGAGAGAGAACTTCCATGCGAGCCCCGCTGGAAAACAGAACGACTAGTGCATTCGAGCTCGACCACCCCGCCCCACAACAAGCCACAGAAGCAGAAGCCAAACATCTCCGAAGTCCGGATCCCGGCGGACTTTTTCCAATCCAGGGAGATGACCCTACCCTTGTACAACCGAAGGAAGACAAAACGGAAAATGAATATACGTATTCCAAAACGAACCCGACGAAAATGACAATTTAAGAACCACGAAATGTAAAAAACGCAGGACCTATCTAATTACACAACCGCATTTAGTCATGAGAGAGAGAGAGAATACTTCCGCGCGAGCCCCTCTAGAAAACAAAAGGAGTAGTGCGTTCGAGCTCGACACCCCCGCCCTTCAGAAGGGAAAACCACAACAAGCCACAGACGCGGAGGCCAAACATTTCCGAAGCCTGGATCCCGACCGACTTTTTCCAATCAAGGCACACATAGAGTAACCACATTACGCATCGGCATTGGAAATGCGGATCCCGGCGGACTAATACCACCAGTCATTCCGAAAAAATATGACCTGCACACGACCAGTGACCTGGCTGACTCACAGGAACGTCGTTCACTTGTACTTGGAAGTTGGAAGGAGTGGTGGTTGTAGTATGACGGCATCAGGAACTCCCCGCTTCGCCACACACTGCGGTCACTCCCTGTGTTTATGGTACTGAATGTAGGCCGCTGACATCCTGACTACGATGGAAGTCGCACTCTCGCCGTCTCCCTGTCGTCGGGCCCTCCACATGTACCCTCTTGCTCCGACCGAAGCGGTCGTCGATCCCCCACAGGCGGCGCATTTCCGTCCCTCACCGCACCGCTGTCAATTTTTGGATCATGACTCGGGATCCCCGCTCCTGACCAGCTCTGCGCGTCCGTCCTCTGTGTCCGCTCCGCAAGCATTGAAGTTCGGATCCCGGCGTACTTGCGTGTTTCGCCCAGCCGGCACGGAGAGCAACCAAGGCTTCCATCACCAAGCCGGCGGATGAAGTGGGCACGTCGGCGGAATGTGTCGAGCCCTCCGGACCGGGACCGGTAGACTGTTGACGACAGAAGGCCTCCCCCGCCACCCCACCGCTGCCTTCCGCTGTCGTGGTGTCGCCGTGAGACCCGCCCTCCGAACCAGGCGGGACTCCTTTGCCACCCCCAGCCTTGTCGCCCTCGTCCTCCCCATCGTCTGATCCCCGGGCCCCCGAACTCACATTCGTCCCACTGGGAGGGGGGATTTTCTAGTCCACCCTTCCCTTCGAAGGGCTCGTATCGAGGTCGTAGTAGTCCTCCGTAAGTTTCAACCAGCACTTGTCCTTAAGTTCGTTGAACAATCGCTCGGTTGTGGAAATGACAGACACGTCGTCGGGTGCAAACAAGTCATTCTCGGCCCTCACTTTCTGAAGGACCGCAATTCTAGCGACGTGGAGGAAGTTAGACTTCGGCCCGCGAGGGAAGGGCATCCATCCTCAACCCATGACAGCGACGGCCATGATCCACTCGCCCTTTTGGATCTCCGGCTGGATGACTCCTGGATGCCAAATCATGTCATGGTCCCAGTCCACCTCAGTGGAATGACTTTGCCGCTCAGGCAGGAAGTGAATGTTGTCATCCTTCCAAGACAGATGATCGGGCGGAATGTCAGACCCGGGACGCAGTGGGCGATGGCTGGAGGCCAGAGCTTGCAGTCTCTCCAGCAACTTCATCGTGGTAGTGCCAAGCGCCGGTTTCGCCATCGGTGACACGAGGGATGCCGGGCTTGTTGACAGACCTGCCAAGGACGACCCTGTAGCGTGCTGCGCGGGATGTGGGTAGTACTGCAGGTCGAGGCTTTCGGTGTCGCTGCCCTCCTCGTTCGCTTTCACGTCGAACTCGATGTCGGTGGTCTCCCCGTCTTCCGTGGAGATCAAGGAAGAGTAATTGTCGAACATCAACTTCTCCTCTGACTCCACGAAGTACAGGGGCTGCAACCTATTGAGGAAGGTCTTCTCGTTCATGCAGGAGGCGGCGTGGTAGTTGTCGAGAAGCATGAACATGTGGTCCTTGCGGCGCACATACTCAGGGTAAGTGTCCCTCTTCGGCCACGTTTGCAGGAACAAGAAGTCGTATATCTTTTTCCGCTTCCTCTCACTCAACTTGAACCACATGTCCGTCTTGTTGTTCCACGAGCGAGCCCGAGTCTCGTTGACGACCATGAACTCACAATTGTGGGCACCCGAATTGACCTCGCTTTTGACGTGATCAATTGCAAATTGCAACAGGACGGAGTTCCCTTCCATCGCGATGACGTGCCGTCCTGCCTTCAGTAGTTCCCACACGGATCGCGCGTGTGGCTTCCCAAGGAAGACGACACCCTCCCCCTTCTTGCTGACGGATTGAAGAAGATTGACGAATTGCGCGGGTTTGCGTTCCATGTCCCCATACACACTGCTCCGACGTGTAGGCGAGGTATGCGACCAGTCGCAAGGGTTGAATGGAATGTCGGACACATCCGTTTGCGTAGCCTTCTGTGGCAGCCGCACTGCAGCAGCGGCGCCTGCCGGCAGTTTCCCCTCGTAGACGATGGATGTGTTAGCACGCAAATCGTCACCCTTGAAGAGGATGTACATCCGGTCGTCTTCCGTGTACAAATTGTTCCCGACGGGGAAGTTTTCTTCTGCTGACTCCTCCTCACCCACTTCCCTTCCAGCAGCTTCACGAAAAAAAGATGGTTCAGGCTGGCTTGAAATGAGAGGTTATGCTAGTGTGGCACGAAAACGACGAGCGTCCAATGCGACGGACACCACGTCTGAAGTTGGGAATCCAGAGTGTCGAACGCTTGCGGTTTCCACAGCTTCAGGTCCACCGGTTCGCAGAGGTCGAGGACGAACGTGTGGCTCTTTGTGGCAGTCACTGCCTCCTTAACCTCCGCACTCCTGATGTCCGCCTCCAAGGGGTCGCTGCCGAACGGCGCGATGGATGTCACGTCGCCCATGTCTCGTGGCCGTGGGGAGAGCACAACGCATGATTGTTGTAGTTCGTCGGTATCCGAACTTCCCTTTTCGCCAGGTAATCACACGCGACTCGCCGTTTTTTGGTTGGCGGTTATTGGTTTCGCGCTTGCAGTTACAACGGCGTCCCCCATTGCCCTGATGACTAGCTTCTGCGGGACAGGGTTTCCAGCTTTCGTGGGTGGGGTCGATAGCTCCGAACGCCCTGCCAGTTGCCACCGTGCGAGGGCGATAACACGAAGTTCGGATCCCGGCGGACTTGCAATTTGGCGCATGCGAAGTCGCGAGCTGCTCAGGTGATTATTGTCGTGTTCCTGCAAACGTGCGCTATTTCGACCGCATCGCTGAAATCACACGCTTCTTGTGCCAGCGAGCGATATGACACAAAGCAAATCTGCCGTGTTCTTTGCTCTTCGCGACCGCGCGGGCGTTCCCTTTCCTGTGTGGCCCACCCAGACGGAAATTAATCATGGTCTACAGGGGTCTTTTGGGAGTCATGGCTACATGGCTGTCCTTCGATTGGCGTTGCCGCAAAAAACAGTCCAATCGCAGGGCCCGCAGCAAAAACAAAACGTGTCTTGCTTTCGATCGACACGCACCAATCGCTGGCAAGTTCGGATCCGAGAGGACTTCGCGGTTGGCACTCGTTCGTGGTCACTCTGTGAAGCCGCCGGCAAGTTCAGATCTTGGCGAATTTCGTTGAACTCCATGGTCCTGGCGGTAAACCTAGCATTGCCCGAGTGCGAGCTCGCCTTGTTCGTGGGAATAATTGGGGTTTGTAGGGGTTGTTTGAGGGTACTTAACAAAGGGTTTTGCTTCGGTCCACTGACGCTTAGATGTGGATTTCAGAAGGCGCTCGTCCAACAGTACGACCTCTGCAACGGCGCACGAAACAGCTCCACCGTCGTGTTTCCCGCTGACCAGCCCGTCCAATATGCGAGTTATCGCGCAGAAACCGGTTCCTTGCTACTCCGACGACCGCCAAGTTTGGATCCCAGCGGACTTTGAGGTTCGATGTGAATCTAACCGCCCTTTCCAACGGCCTAGACTTTCTCATCTGTTTTGGTCGCCAAAGACCTTTGGGTGTGCAAAAGTGCTAACCTTGAGAATTGCCTTATAGGGGTTTAAGGGGGTTGCCGATGGTGGTGTCGTCATCGACATGCGTGCAATCTGGTTGCTGACATTCCCGTGTCCCGGCGCGCTTTGCAGTTCGCGCTGTCATATGTCGACGTTGGCAGCAAGCGAATAGACCTCGCCTTGTCAACCGGACGAATCGTGGTTTGATGGGGTTGCAGGGGGGTCCACCAGCCGTGGTCATATTTTTCTTTTCAGCGCCTCGAAGAACTTCGAGTCCCACCAGCTGTGCTGCTGATAACCGTCAATATCATTGTGGATCACAACATCTGTGACTGAATTACCGCACGACCTCGCTTTGTCGATGGGGAGAATCGGTGTCTATAGGGGTCTATTGGGGGCCGCGCTGCGCCTATTTCTAACGTGGTGCACCTACGACTAACCTTTCTTCTATGCGTGCTCTCGTCCAACAGACATTTGTAAGGAGCAGAAGGGCCTCCCTAACCGTGCAGCCACGCATAGCGTTCCTTCTGTGCACTTTCTGACCAACCCTTCCAATATCCGACATGCCGCGCAGAAACTGGTTCCTCGCCACTTGTAAATTTAACGGCCTTTTTCAACGGTCTGGACTATCGCATGTGTTCTGATTATCAGAGGCCTTTGGGTGCGCAAAAGTGCTCGCTTTTATAATTGCCTTATAGGGGTTTGTGGGGGTTGCCGGCGGTGCCAGTGGTCGCAGGACTGTGGCCACTTGCAGTTTGGTTCCATTTCCAGCTATAGCAGGCACAACGATGAACGTGTTCGTGCGATCGTTGGAACCCCTGATGTGGCGAACATGACGCAGACCTCGAAGTCCGTCGTGATCCGGAGCTTGCAAGCAGCCAAATTCCCACACTGATTCGGACAAATTTCATGCCACAGAAATCCGCAGTGAGGGCACAGATAATCGGGGTTTGTGGGGGCCGGTTGCGGGCGGCAATGAGCCGTTCCGAGATCTGGTGCACCCACGCATAGCCTGCCTTCTGTGCAGCCGTCAACCACCTTTAAAATAGCTGCAGCCGCACGAAAACCTGTTACTCGCTGTACTGGGACCCTCCAAGTTCGGACCCCGGCGGACTTTGAGGATCCGCGCAAATCTAACCGTCCTTTGCCGGAGGCCTGGACCTTCGCATGTAAGTTGATTGCGAGAGGACTGGGGGTGCGCAAAATTGCTCGCCTTGTGAAATGCCCTTGTAGGGGTTTATGGGGGTTGCCGTCGGTGACAGTGGCCGGGTCCGTTGTCGGTCTGCCGTCGATCTTTGTTGCCCTCCAAGGGGTTTAACCGTCGCGATGCGTGGAGTCTTGTCGCAGACATGCTCGTGTTTCGGCGTGCTTTCCGGTTCACACTGTCACACGTCGTTGCCAGCGCGAGTAATGAGTGTCGCCTTGTCGGCTAGACAAATCGGGGTTTGTAGGCGTTGCAGGGGGGGGCTTTTATCCATTTCTACATTTTTCTTGTCCGCATCGCGGAGATGTACGAGTTTCACGAGCTCTTCTACTGGTAGCTGTGACTAGAACACCGCACAAGCTCGCTTTGACGATGGGGAGAATCGATTGTTTATAGGGATCAATTTGGGGTCGCACTACGCCGATTTGTAAGGTGGTGCATCCACCTCTGCCCTTTCTTCTGTGCGTGCTCTCGTCCAACAGACACTTCAGAGCAGCAGAGCCTTCCTTTTGTGCGCCCACACATAGCGTTCCTTGTATGCACCCGCTGACCCTCCCTTCCACTGGCACAGATCGCGCGAAAACCATTTCCTTGCTACTCCGGCACCCGCTCAGTTCGGATCCCGGCGGACTTTGAGACTCCCTGTAAATCTGACCATCGTTTTCAACGGCTTGGACTTTCCCATGTGTTTTGATTGGCGGAGGCCTAGTGGTGCGCAAAAGTGCTCGCCTTGTGAGTTGCCCTTATAGGGGTTTATTGGGGTTGACAACGGTGTCAGTGGCCGGGTTCATTTCCGGTCTGCCGTCGTTCTTCGTTGCCCTCCAAGAAAAGCAAGCATCGCGATACATGTAGTTTAGACGCTGACATGCTTGTGCCTCAGCGTGATTTGCTGTTCGCGCGGTCATGTGTTGACGTTGCCATCGCGGAAGTCGGAGATCGCCTTGTCGATTACATGAATGGAGATTTGTTGGGGTTCCAGGGGGGTCTTTCAGCCATGGTTGTATTTTTCTTGTCCACGCCGGCTAGATCTTGGAGTTCCACACGCTGTTCTACCGATACCTGTCAAAATCAGCGCGGATTAGGACACTTGTGACTCGGACAGGGACAAATTATGCCCGTCGTGGCTCAGCGCGTATTGTGATAGTTGTGACTCGAACACCGCACGGGCTCGTTTAGTCGATAGGGAGAATCGGTGTTTATAGGCGTCTCTTGGGGGCCGCGCTGCGACGCTTTGTAAGGTGGTGCACCCACGGCTAGCCTTTCTTTAGAACAGCGGCAAAGCGTGAACACGTTCATGGCGCCATCAACAACCACCAAGTTCGGATCACGGCGAGCTTTCAGTTCCAGGTGATGCTAACCGTCCTTTTCCGCGGCCTCGTCCGTCCCGTGTGTTTTCGTTGTCGGTGAGCTATGGGTGCGCAATCAAGCTCGGGTATATAGGGGTTGCTGACGGTGGCAGTCATTATTGTCGTTCTCGTGCGAAGGCGCTTCGATGTCAAAGCCGTGCGGGCTGCAAAGGCTTGGAGTCCCAACACACAGCCTTCAAATCGATGTGCAGTTAGTCGGGGTTTGTGGGGGTCGTCTGAGGGTCATTAAGCCATGTTTTCTCTTGTCTCCAACCTCTCATAGCCTTACATTCGTAATGATGATTGGCCGACAGTCAGTTCACGGCGATCGATTGATGACCGGTTCGCCGTCGATTCAATTTCTGCCAAGTTCGGATCCCAGCGGACTTCTGTGATCCGCGACAATTGGACCGTTCCTTGTGCACGTCTAACTCTCGATAGTACACGTCCTCCTGGGCGCAAGTCAAGCAACACCAAACAAAATGGGTCGACAAATTAACAACAAAGATTCACGACTGGCCCATGGGGTGTCCGACCCATAACCAAATATCAACAACCACTTGCTGGCAGCGCGAGGTAGACATCTATTAATGTGGGCCGCACACAGGCTTCCTCATAACGACTAGCCATGCATGAGTTCGCAAGCTGCCGAAGCGATGGCATGTTATATGTTGTCCATACTCGTGTGGCCCTCAGCGTTGTAGAGGGTCTCATTCGACACTCAAGTGTCGGCTGACACGCGCCTTGAGGGACTTGCCTCTCGATGCTAAACAACCGCCAAGACGGTTGTGGTACCTACCTTCTTCAGCTACCTCCGGGAGTGACGGGTGGGCGGGCCAAGGCCCTTTGTAGCAGCTGAGTTCTATCTACGGGGGCCTTTAAAAAGGTCAAGGGGTTTGACTTTGACAGCTGCTACGGACTTCAACGTCCAACTATAAAAGTATAAAAAGCAAAAAGGGGAAGGGTGTCTCCGTTTTCTATTGGCGCAATTCTTAACGCCGGAGTCGATGCAAGAAAAATTCGGCTGCCCTTCGGCACATGCAATTAATGCATTCAAAGGACTTCGATCTCTGCAAAATTCGGATGTCGGCGCACTTCGCATGTTGCGGTTTGTCAAATCGTTCGTGCCACCTATCTGCCAAATCGCGCCTTCCATGTGCGGC